GCGCATGAGTTCCTTCCTCGTCCTTGGAGTGGGGAAGGACAAGATGGCTTTAACGTTTGCGTCCTTGGGTCTAACCATACCATGTCCAACGATATGTCCCAGGTAAGTCACTGAGGCCCGGCTAAAAGCAGATTTAGCCAGGTTTATGGTGAATCCAGTCTCTTGCAGTCGTGCAAACATTATCTCCAAACGCACCAGATGTTCGTCCAAGCCATCCGACACCACCACCAGGTCATCCAGGTAGGCGAACGTCCCACCTAGGTCCTGAATTAGGTGATTGAGTTCACTCTGGGAAGTGATCACAGGATCACCTATCCTGGAAACCTACGGCACAGTGACTACCTACCGTCTTCTACAATACTCAGCCTTACTCGTCAGCCATCTCAGCTCCGCACTTAAGTATTTGTAATCTTGTATTGCCTCCCCCACCTCCACCTTGCTTCAAATTATTGTATGTTGTATAAATATGTATATACTGTTAATGTTTAGGTTAAGTATGGTTAAGGGTAAATTATAGAAAGCTGAATATTTTGTTAAGGAATTTATGGCACTTTATTATACACAACAAAAACTCGCATCCTTTGTCTACCCTTTTATAGTCCGATTGTCTTTGTTTTTTGTTGTTGTTGCCTGTTGGGATCTGGGTAGACTTTTAACTATATTCTAAATCCCCAACTCGTAACCGACACCACCACCAGGTCATCCAGGTAGGCGAACGTCCCACCTAGGTCCTGAATTAGGTGATTCATTGCCCTCTGGAATGTGGCCGGAGCATTAGAAAAGCCAAACTCCATAACCAAATATTGAAAACGACCAAATGGAGTTATAAATGCTGAGATTATTTTTGCCCTATCCGTGAGTCCCACTTGATAATATCCTTTCAACATGTCCACCGTACTGATAAATTTGGCACAGCCTATGCGGTCTATTATATCTTCAATCAAAGGTAAAGGGTAGGAGTCTGAGACAGTGACCTGGTTCACTTTACGATAATCGGTACAGAAACGAAAAGTGCTATCGGGTTTTGGAATGAGAAGGCAAGGTGAAGCCCAGGGGGGGGTACTAGGCTCAGCTAAGTTATGTTTTAACAAAAAATCTACCTCCTTTTTCATAATCTCTCTTTTGTGGATTTAGTCGATAGGCTGATTGCCAAATTGGTTGTACGTCATCTGAGATTAGCTTAATATCATGTTTAAGTATATTGCAAAACCCTGGGAGGTCTAACGTGACTTTAGGAAATGTTGATAATAACTTAGTGAGATCTTTTGCTTGAGATGGATTCAGAACAGAAAAATACTCATCCAAGTTGTTGAGTATGTGACTGTTAGCAGGGTTTTCTTTAGGTAGAGGGAAGTCTAAATTCTCCAATAGGTCCATGTCATCTGTCTCCGGCTCCGGCCCTGACAAAACCGTATGTAATACAGGTAGGCTTATAGCCTCTGGGATGTCTTTCTCTGACTGCCTGGAATGGTAAAGTTTCATGAGATTAATGTGAACAAGTTGTGAATCTTTTCTGCGATCAGGAGTATGGACTATATAGTTGAGGGGAGATAGTTTATTAGCATTGATTTGAAAGTTTTGATGGAACCGTTCCAAGCAACCTTGGGACGGTGGGTGTTAAGCCGAAGATGTACAATGGTCCACACTGAGGTCTTTCATCACCTGTTTGAACACAGATGGATCAGATTGTTGGGCTTTAATGAGCTCATCCTTACTAATGGTCTTATTGTACAGATCTTCTGTGGGTAGGAAGATATTGGAGGTGGTTTTAAATGAAGAGGGCCCATTTCGCACACTCTGTGACCGGGTGCCAGCACAAGATGGGAAAAGGTGAGGAATAGTTTCTTCAAGGTCAGTGGTGGAGTTGACAGGTAAGGGAGAGTCGACTGTCTTTATGTTGGGAACCACTAGATCTCCTACCAAGTCATTACCCAATAATAAATGAATGCCGCTCACAGGCATTGGATCTTTCCTAATGGCTACTTGCACTTCCCCAGTAATCAAGGGACATTGGAGGTGCACTTTAGCTAAGGGATAGGAAGAATGGGATGAGAGATCTGAAATTAGAACACTTATTAGTAAATGCGGTAGATATATCAGGAATGACGTTAAACAGGAGGATAGATTGTGCTGCGCCCGTATCACGTAGTATACGAATAGGGAAAGAACGAGACCCCTCTATGATTGAAATTTTTCCCTCATGGGTGAATGAAGAGAAGAGATCCTAATGGGGCCTTTCCACATTGGTGGTTGCTATTGGTTTGGATTTGGGATCCAGGGAACTACCTTTAGCAGTTCGACACTTTGGGTGTTCACAAGACTGGATCGTATGGCCTGGTTTTTTACAGTAAGAACAATAAAACTTGGTTGCATCAGGGTAGGTAGGTGTGGGACCTTTCGACCTACCACTCACGTCCCCAAGGCTATCATCAGAGGAGGACCTAACATGCCTGAAAGTACCACGTTCCCTACGGCACAGTGACTCCACCAGCAAGGCGTACGCATCAGCCAGCTCAGCCGCACGTCCTAAATTAACCTCTCCACGCTCCTCCACATGCTTCAAGATGTGAAATGGTATCTTGCTCTTCCACTCCTCCAGGACTACCAAGTTTAACAAATCCTGAGGTGGCCATTAAGAAAACCTAGATAAATTAATTAATGGTCAAAAAGATATGATAAGTGGATTACCCTAGAAAATATCACCGCAGTGGATAACCAGAAAGTCGCGGAAACTACCCAAGCTATACCTAGGGAATTTACACTTATGAATATTGCTCTTCGGATAAGATCCTTAAATGAGGATAAGAGACTTCAAAGAGGAAGGGCATATTACGGCATTTATATAAAGATCCGGATTAACAACCCTTGAATAAACAGGAAGGGCGTATTACGCATTAATATAAAGATCCGGATTAACAACCCTGAGTAAACAGGAAGGGCGTATTACGGCATTAACATTAAGATCCGGATTAACAACCCTTAGATACTTGAAAACAGGAAGGGCGTATTACGGCATTAACATTAAGATCCGGATTAACAACCCTTAGATACTTGAAAACAGGAAGGGCGTATTACGGCATTAATATAAAGATCCGGATTAACATCCCTGAGTAAAAAGGAAGGGCGTATTACGGCGTTTATATAAGGATCCGGATTAACAACCCTTGAGTTACTTGATTATTGACCCCAAATGAGATAATGAGAAGAACAATAATTGAGGCTTTATAATTATGGGGTCCTGGTAGAGTGGGGCGTCCCAAGATATCACTTCACCCTAAACTAGTGACTATGGAACAGCCTACTCTGGAGCGAGGGTGCGGCATTAAACAGATCCGGATTCTTCCCTACACTCGATAAGACTTACTACACGACTGCCACGTGTAATAACAGGTAAGCCTTGACACTTGGAACCTAATATCCTATGTCTGTCACTCTTACTGCACGATAATACCAATATATGCATACACATATGAAGGAAACTTTAAACCACCGTAAAGCAATTGTGAACAGAAGTGACTGGGAGGAATAATTAACACTGAGTAACAAGGGGGGAAGGAATATGGTACTTAATGTTGAGTCCTGTCACGGTCTTCGAGTTCTCTGCGTGTTTGTTCCTCTTTGTGGCGCCGTCTTTCAGACTCTTTGTACCGAATTTCTTCCTCTTCTCTCCTTGCAATATCGTCCTGGCGTCGAGAAGTTCCATCCACTTTATCAGTTGAAGGAGATCTGTGGACGCATGCATCGCAGGAGAGCTTGCTCGCGACGAACGAGGAGATTCTGTGGGTGACTGGGCATTGTCAGTGTGGGGAGCGTGGGGCCTGAGTGTGGGTGGAGAAGGTCTCCCACACTAAAACTCATAATCCCATCGGCCAAGGTATCATTTTGATCCCTGTGAGACATGCCGACAGCTTCTGTACTCTATCTGTGCAAAAGACCGGGTCAGCCCCTCGTAATCTATGCACAGAATTACAGAAGTCTGAAGTAACTCACAAGAATTTAATATAAGGTGGGTCTGTGAATGCGTGTGTGTGTGTGTGTGTGTCTGACGGGAGAGGCTTGGCGCGCTGCTAGAGGTAGGAGCAACTGGGCAGCATCGAGCGTCGAGCGGTCAGTTCCTCAGTTACCCTCAGACCAGAGGCGGGGGCGCACGTACTGTCGGGCCGCTCCCTTAGTCATCTGACTGCACTTTGCACAGACAATTATGATTAAAATACACAACACAGCACTTCACAAAACACTTCACTTCACAGCACAGCACTGTACACAGCATAGCACTTCACAACACTGTAAGGCTAGAGGCTTGTAGTAGTCTTGCTGTAAATCCGTGAAGTTGAAGACGAGACGCCATTAACACAGTCCGGGTTGGAAGGCTTGTCCAATGTATCTCACTGAGAAATATCACTGCGCCATCTACGTTCGTCTAGGATACCTCCAAAATGTTCTACACTTCGGAGGGTATACACAAACACTTGTTATCTTAAAAGTAGGCTCTTATTCTCATACGGGAGATATATGCAAAGGGACCAAGAAGCTCTCTTCCGCACTTGAGGGACTGGCTGTCTCCACTCTATGCATTACTGCACGCTGGCCTGTACAGATGCCAACATTCACAAGCTGAATACATAAAATGTAAATATGATAATTTATACACATAACATGGTGCGCAATAAATGGAAATATTACATAGGATTAATACATGTTCTGTAATACTTTACTATACATAATTAATGGGGTAATATGAGTATACACAGCTTAAGGTACTACAGTAAAAGTCCAAAAATCCGGACTGCTTGGGGATTGGGTCGGTCCGGATTTTCGGATTTTCCGGATTCTCAGGCAGTACATTTAAAATTCAAATTTAAGGAGTAAAGAAGAGATGAACTGGTACATTTTGATAGTTTATTCATAAGCAAGTAAAGCATGCTTCAATTATCAAAACGAGCCGTTTTAAAGAAAAATAAAGTCAACACTTGACAAAAATGTAAACAAACATTTTTCACTATGAAAAAAGGGGCGTGTAATCTTTGAAATCATGTTTAAAAATGAACATTGTAAAAGAAAAATACAGTAAACAAATGAAAGCAGAATTTATTTTATACAAATTGCTTATTTATTTGTAGTTTATTAACGAAACATTTTCCTATAAATACAAAGTACAAAACAACAAATAAATTTTTATTCGTTGATTTCCACGACTTCTATATCGTCTGCTGCACTGCTTGTGGATGGAACACTTGCAGCTTCTACTGCACTGCTTGACACTGCTTTCTTTAAATACTTTCGTATATCACCTTGTTTACGACTTTGTAATTTCTTTGTGATAAGATTATTCTGCACCATGTGTGCCTGCATGACGTCTTGAAGACTGAAGCTATGGTTCTGTTCCACAAATTTAATAACTGTTTCAATGCCCTTTTCTGCAGCAGCCCAAGATATCTTTTCTTCAACTTTGTCGTCGTCTTCACCAGATTCTTCTGAACAATTTTCTTCTATCTTATCAGGAGTTGTAATGCTTTGAATGATTTCTTGATCAGTGAAAGTGGCAGCAACTTCAATATCATCGTCAATGTGTATCCACTCTTCTATGTCAGCAGCATTAAGCTTGCGTAGAGGGTTGTCTTCCAGAGATAATTTAACAGTCTCCATCAGTTCTTGCACTTCAGATGCCCTCTGCTTTATGTGGAATCCTTCAAAATCTTTGTCTTGATCACACACTAGATCTGCAAACATCACTTTCGGCCACAACTTTCGCCACGCTCTTAAAAGTGTTTCACTCGTGACTGCATTCCAGGCAGTCGCGAGTGAAAATATTGCCTCCTTGATCGTAAAACTGCGTTGAAATTCTGTAGGGTTGACATTCTCATTCATCATTTTCGTCATAAAATCATTTTTATAGTGACATTTAAAGTTCCTAATGACTCCTTGATCCATGGGTTGAATCAATGATGTTACGTTTGGTGGCAAGTAACATGCATAAATATTCCCGCAATCAGAGACTAATTTTGATTCATGCGGGTGGGCCCTACAGTTGTCGAGAAGTAGCAGGCACTTTGTATTTGCAGGCTTCCCCAATTTCCTTAAGTTCTGACGAACTGATGGAACAAAATCATGAACAAACCAATCGTGAAATATGTCTTTGTCCATCCAAGCACTCTTTTGGGCTTTATAGGTCACAGGCAAGTGCACAATTCCTTTAAAGGCCCGTGGGCGCTTAAATTTGCCAATCGCCAAAAGCTTAATTTTATGCTGACCTGAAGCATTAGCACATAGAAGAACGGTTAATCTTTCCTTATTAAGCTTAAAACCTGTTGCATTTCGTTCTTGGTTTCCAGCCAAAGTTTTTGTGGGCAAACACTTCCAGTAAACCCCTGTTTCATCAGCATTACAAATTTGATCGGCTGTGAGATCATAGTCATTTACAATTTTTTTCAAATGTTGCACTATATTTTGTTGGTGCTTGTGTATCAGCCGACTGTCTTTCTCCAGCAATATCTAACTGTCTAATACCATGACGAGTCTTGAAATTCCTAAGCCATCCATCACTAAATGCGCACTCTGATTCAATGTTCATTTGCTCCTTAAAAGACTTTGCTTTGGCAATAAGCATCGGCCCAGAAATTGCTATACCTTCTGATCGTTTTAACAAAAACCATTCGTGCAACACTTTATCAAGATTTTCTAATTTGGGCCGATGTAAACTTTTTCTTTCAGCAATTTTATTGTAAGGCTCAGAAGAAGTTGTGAATTCTAGAATTTTATTCTTTGCCTTTTTTATATCATAAATTGTTGACTTTCCAATGTCGTATGTTTCCATGAGAACAGCATTGCTCACACCACGTTCTAGTTTCTTAAGTATTTCAAGTTTGTACTCAATTTCAATGTGTTCTTCTTTCTCTTCACACAACGAAGCTTATCTACTTTAGGAGCCATTATTATGGGCTTGTAAATGGAAAGAGTAGGACTCAAAATTACATACCGTGTTACAGTTTGATTGCTTGTTCTAAAGTAGCGATCGAGTGGTCGCTTGTTGTCGCTGTGTAGCTGTGGCGTTCACGCATGCACACATACACACAAAAGATTTATAGTGCCTCAAATTTTACATTTCAGGACAAGCTAATTACAAAACTAGCAAAATTAGCTACTTATAATTTACAATTACTTTTATTATTAGAATTATGTAAATTAATTTTTTTTAAAACAACTCCATTCATTCACGTAACCCACAAAAGCCCGCTAAATTTAAAAAGTTTGAAAGTTTTCGAAAAGTCCGGATTCTCGGGTGGTCCGGATTTTTGGCATCCGGATTTTTGGACTTTTACTGTACTTTGTGTCCATATCATACAGTTGGGATGGCAATAGACAGGACGGACACACTTGAGACAGATTAGAAGTCATTTATAAACAAGAATAACACCAAATTGACCATAGCTGCGTCAGTGAGGGTAGCTGGTTTTACATCCACCCGCGTAAATTGAAAACTAACACCCTCGCGTGGAAAGAGCATCGATGGTCGGTCAGTCATGTGAGATGGGCCTAAAACTGACTAACATAGATGATGACTATGATGACATAACACAGGTGATGACTTAAGCAGATGGTGACGAATCTAACCAGAATCAAGATCACCTCTCTTCATAATATAATTTAACCTTCTCCTTATGGCGAATATAACTTTAACTAATTATTGTAACCTTTATTCTATTCCTTCCTATAGTATACTAGATACTTACAGTATCAGTAAGACATAAGCTATTGGAAATGCGATTAAATGTTTTGTTATTTTATAAAGTGTGAAATGTATCGGTATTGGTGGCACAATCCTAATGGTCTCTAATCCTGTTGATTTGGCGAGGTTAATCTGGGTTTATTGAGATTAAAGATTAGGTGTGGGGTTTATTCTACCTGTGTTAGTCTCAGGTACGACTCTTATTGTAACAATCACAACCATGATTATAACAACCAGGACCATGATTATAACAACCACGACCATGATTATAACAACCACGACCATGATTATAACAACCAAGACCATGATTATAACAACCACGACAATGATTGTAACAACCAAGACCATGATTATAACAACCACGACTATGATTATAACAACCACAAACATGATTATAACAAACACGACCATGATTATAACAACCACGACAATGATTATAACAACCAAGACCATGATTATAACAACCAAGACCATGATTATAACAACCACGACTATGATTATATCACCCACGACTATGATTATAACAAACACGACCATGATTATAACAACCACAACCATGATTATAACAACCAGGAACATGATTATAACAATCACAACCATGATTAAAACAAGCACAACCATGATTATAACAACCACGACTATGATTATATCACCCAGGACCATGATTATAACAACTACGACTATGATTATAACATCCACGAAACCATGATTATAACAACCACGACCATGATTATTACAACCACGATCATGATTATAACAACCACGACTGCGATTATAACAACCACGAACATGACTATAACAACCACGGCCATGATTATAACAACCGCGATCATGATTATAACAACCACGACCATGATTATAACAACCACGACCATGATTATAACAACCACGACCATGATTATAACAACCACGACCATGATTATAACAACCACGACAATGATTATAACAACCACGACAATGATAACAAACCACGACCATGATTAAAACAACCACGACCATGATTATAATAACCACGACCATGATTATAACAACCACGACCATGATTATAGTAACCACGACCATGATTATAACAACCACGACCATGATTATAACACCCACAGCCATGATTATAAGAACCACGACAATGATTATAACACCCACGACTATGATTATAACAAGCACGACTATGATTGTAACAACCACGATCATGATATAACAACCACGATAATGATTATAACAACCATGACCATGATTATAACACCTACGACCATGATGATAACACCTACGACCATGATGATAACACCTACGACCATGATTATCAGAACCACGACAATGATTATAACACCCACGACCATGATTATAATAACCACGACTATGATTATAACAACCACAACCATGATTATAACAACCACGACTATGATACTAACAACCACGCCCATGATTATAACACCTACGACCATGATGATAACACCTACGACCATGATTATAACAACCACGACTATGATTATAACAACCACGACTATGATTATAATACCCACGACCATGATTATAACAACTACGACAATGATCATAACCACGACCATAATTATAACAACCACGACTATGATTATAACAACCACGACCATGATTAAAACAACCACGACCATGATTATAATAACCACGACCATGATTATAACAACCACGACCATGATTATAGCAACCACGACCATGATTATAACAACCACGACCATGATTATAACACCCACAACCATGACTATAAGAACCACGACAATGATTATAACACCCACGACCATGATTATAACAAGCACGACTATGATTATAACAACCACGATCATGATATAACAACCACGATAATGATTATAACAACCACGACTATGATTATAACAGCCACAACCATGATTATAACAACCACGACTATGATTATAATAACCAGGACAATGATTATAATACCCATGACCATGATTATAACAACCACGATCATGATTATAACAACCTCGACCATGATTATAACGACCACGACCATGATTATAACAACCACGTCCATGATTATCACATATACTATAGGAATAGCCGTGTGTCTGTGTGTGTGTGTTTGTTCTGATCAGCCGAAACGGCATTATCGTTTTTCTTCAAACTTGGTGGAAAAATCGCAAAAAATTTGTAGAGTGGAACAAACCTGGTCCCATGTCGAAGGTTTCTTTAGGAAGGCATTAATTAACCATTTTATTTACGCTGGAAAACGATGTCGCTGTACGCTACCAGTCTTCCGGCGGTTGCACGCTAGCCAAGCACGAGCGTTCGAACTTTCACGCTTTGGTAAACTGTACCACCGGACTCGCAACCGGGCACGAAGTGCCAACGATCACTTGTATTAATCTAATTAAACCGTACCTTGATAGAGCTCAGCATAATGTTACTTTGAATGTGAATGTTATTGATAGTGCTAATGAATTCCAAGAGCTTGAAATTATAAAAACAAAATTGTTTAATAGATGTATCCTGAATGATCCCCTAACGAAGTTCTCCCACTTTTCCCAGTCAGAAAGGGATGACTTGTGCAATCTACTTAAAGAATTTCCTTTAGATATTTGGAGACGTGCCGAAGCAGTGCAAAGGAGTGGTGCATGATATTGAACTGGTGGATGGTGCTCGTCCGATAAAGCAGTCTGCTTATAGAATGAGTCCTCATCAGAAGGAGCTCATAAGGAATGAGGTAGACTACTTACTACAGCATGGACTGGTGGAGCCAAGCGACAGTGAGTTTTCGTCCCCTATTTTGTTGGTGTCCAAGCCTGATTCCAGCAAAAGGTTGTGCTTTGATTATCGCAAAGTCAATGCAATCACACGGACAGACTCGTTTCCTCTACCCAGGATTGATGACATCATCGATAACATTGGAAACGCCAAGTACATCACCACCCTTGACTTGCTGAAGGGGTATTACCAAGTGCCACTGATTTGCAAGGCTAAGAAAATATCTGCCTTTGTGACACCAGATGATCTATATCAATATCGTGTGATGTCGT